TTCAGCCTTGCTGGAGACAGGACGAATGCAGAATGTCCCACCCCAAATAATCATATCTCATTCATTTGCAACCCCACTCCTTCTCTGCCCCCTTCAAGAAGGCAGATTGCTGTGGAAATTATTAATATAAGCAATTGATTTAAAAAATTAATTTCAGACCTCTAAGTTATAAGTATACATATTAGTATTTTTGGCATAAGCTCCTAGAGTATGAGCTAGAGACTTTCTTAAGCCACCATCAAGATTCTCACCTGAGCACCTGGCCTAACACAGCTGAGAGCTGGAGAAAACCACCAGTATCACGACATTTGGTGCTGCTGTTCTGAGTGAAAATTGTGTTTCCGCAGGAGAGATGGTTGTCCTGTTATTTCTGCATACCAGTTACTTTAGATCAAAAAAGATGAAGATAATTGCTATGCTTGAGGAAAGTTTATTTCCATGTGTGTCCTTAGGGTTATATTTCCTTTGGTCCAAGGTGATGTGACACAGTCAAATGGAAGTTTATTGGTATAGTTACCAAAATAGATGCATTGTGTTAATTTTGTAATTAATTTGTGTGTGTGGAGTGTTTTTAAAGTAACAAGTATTGTAAGCAGTATGTTATTTTTAAACCAAGGACATTTTGTGCTGAATTTGGCTATTGCAACACTGAGTTAGAATTAGAATACACAAAATTCAAAACCACAGTAACCGTAATTTTGCCATTCTTGCCTTTTTAACTGCTTGACAATAGTGTTGTGTTTGTATAGTATTTAAAAATATTTGTTAAGGGGAATGTAAAGAGCTACTGGCAGGCTTCTCTGTTAACTGTTTGTGCATGCTCAACCACCCTGCTGTTATGAAAACTCTGGGGCAAATACTCCCAATGTCCACAGCTCAGACCCTGCTTGTCATTGCAAGTGAAGGAGCAGCCAAAGCCCCAGCTAGGGTGAAGGCAGAGATCTGCACAGTGGGGCTGACAGTCTGTTTTGCTCAGAGGACAGAACACCCATGATGGGCTAAAACTTCTGCTTACAGTCTCCTTTCCCAACTCACCCTGGTACATGCATACCTGGATCTACAGTATCTAAGGAGCTACTCTGTCAAATGAGTAATAATGTTCAGGATAATATAGCCTGACCATGAGGATGAATTTTATACAGCTACAGTTCATGTAATGACACTACAATCTCTCGTTTTGCCTGGCTTTGTCCTGACGTTCCAGCCAACTCTGGGGAGAGGTTATGGGAGGCCAGTACTACATAGGACTGCTTGCTTTCAACCTGCCCCAGCCGTGAGCCGCTTGATTTTCCCTGCAAGGGCTTTGTGCAGCTGGGGCATGGATGTGTCCATCTTAAGACAGAAATTAGCTTTGGATTTTACGTGTCACCCATCAGAGTGACCTGAATGAATTCATGTGGGAAAAATAATAACTTGGAAAGCCGCTTGAGAAATTCTCCTTTTTACTGTTGCCTTGCATTTTGGTGTGCGCTGTCTGCGTTTTGAATACGAGGTCATCTGATGCATTGAATCGTGATAGCAATACAGACTGGGTAATCCTGGGAACCTTCCCTTTCCAAATTTTACTGTTCTAAAACTTGACTTCTTTGTTAAAAATGAACAGTTCCCAGGGGGTAAAAGCCCCCAGAGAAGATCTGTTGGCATTTTATATTTTTAAGCTGTCTTGCTGAATGAAAACAGTTAATTATTAACTTGATGGGGCGACAATGAGTATATAGAACTTAAATATCTCACCACTCCCACAAAGAAAAAAAAAACCCACCGCACCCTCCATTGTATCATGGGAAGATACATGGCCAGAAAAACTTTCCAACTCGTTAAACTTTTATACTGGCTTCATACAAGCTTAATGTAGACTTTTTTCCATCCTGTGATGTTGTAGGGATGCTTCTGACTGCATCTGAGGAGTTCACCATCGACTTAACAGTGTTTCTTTCCGAGCGTGCCTTTCCTATAATAGAAAAAAAGCTAAATTACACAATCTGAAGGATAAAAAAAAAGGTTTCCTTGTTTGTTCCAGGTTGTTTATTCTGTCAAGCCTGACAATGAAATCAGTCTGACAGTTTCTCCTGTAATCAGTCTAGTCAGCTTCTGTGATTGTGTGGGGCATTTGGACAAGGGCAGGGATAAAGGAAGAAAGTTTTAAAAACAGGAAAATACTATTGTAAATGTATCAGGCAAGTTATAAACTGGAAAAGGGTACTTGGAGTCAAGCATCATGCCTGCTGCTACTTTTGATGCTCTGTGGTAGATGTTTTGGTGGGATTTCTTCCCTTTGTGGCTTATGTTTCACTTTTTCAAAGAAGGGTGTGGGAAAATACTGATTTAAAGGACTGAAGTCTGGCTATATAACTTTTAAACTATGTATTTTGTAGTGGAGGGGAGGCTGCTGTAGCTGACTTGAGGTTGAAAAGGAATAACAAGAAGTGATGTTTGGGCTTGTTTTGAGCCCTCTGCCAGGCGGGACAGCTCTGAGCTCTCCCTTGTGTGCTTGGAGAGGCCACGTAGCATCTCACCATGTGGGGCTGTAGCTGGCAGAAAGCATCAAATATTCCCTTTGCTGTTTCTGCCTGGTGTAATTTTAGTTTTCCGGCACCCTGATAGAGCTTTGCTGCTTGCCCTGGCAGTGTCCTTCCCCTTGCTCTTCCTGATCCTCCTTTATCGTGTTCAGCTGTGCCCACAGGTCAACTTGTCCCCGTGAAAGCACGGGAGGGGACGTGGGTTTTGGCTGGTCATTGCACCCGCGACCAAGGACTTAGCAAGTTCTAAATTGAGAATTGTTGCTTCATGCGCGTGTCTTTCCAAACCCGTGGATTTAGACATTCCCTCACCATTAATTACATCCTCTCGTCTCACAGCAGCAAGTAAAAAGGCTAAGTTGGGCACGTCGTCCTGCTGCAGGCAGATGAAGGTATTTTCTTGTTGGTTGGATGCTTGCAAGTTTCTGACAGTATGTGGCCATGCAGTTTTGGGAGGTGCATCCTGCAGGGCTCGCCTCAGGATGGGAAGTAACCAGGCAGCTCAGGCCCCTTCTCAGAGGGTGTGCATTTGAGTGATACCAGCCAGTCTGGTATTACCAGTCATTCTCAATTAAAAGCAGGGGCAGGTGCTTCAAAGGTGAGCCCAGATTGTCAGTAACTGGTGGCCACCTAGGTAATTCCTAGGTGGCACTGGAAAGTGATTCGTACCATCATTTGCCTTGGTGCAGTCTCTGATGGAAATGCTGGTTTCACCCCCTCATTTCTGTAAGCCGTAGGGTCCAGTCACCTGTGTTTGTCAGTCTTTTGACATCTAAACTGCTCAAACATATGCAATGCACAACTGCCAAAATTGGCAGTAGCATCCGGCTCTGACAGCAATTTGCAGGTTTGCCTGTTTGCCCCATGGCAGCTCTTAATGCAGCATTTCCAAGTGCAGTGTCCCACTAAATGTTCGGCAGCAGTCACGCGGAGGTGAAAAGATTTCCAGGCGAGCTTCAAAGAGAAGGATGTGACTAACTGTCTCATAGGGAGCCAGGACGTGGACCCAGCCAGATGAGGCAGCTCACATGAAAGGGCTGCCAAAGGAAAGGGAGAGGACACAGACAAAACTGGGGCTGGGGGATGAAGTGGAGCAGGCAGTAAGGAAGGATAGAGGGGATAATCTCCATGGGCTGTTCCCAGCAGCCGGGAGACGTAATGGCTCTTCAAGGAGGTAACCTGTGGACAAAGCAACGAATCTTAAGCTTGCTGGCCGTTCGTTGTTCCTGGCTCCACTGCAAGGCTCTGCTGCCTGTCCTTGGACAAGTCACTCTCCTGGTGACTCAGTATCCCAGCTGTAAAATGGGTATTGCTGCTTACCTCATGGGATGTTGTGAGGGTGGGCTCATGGATGCCTTTGCAGTTTGATGTGTTAATTGGGAGGGGTGGGAAGGGGGAGAGAGCAACAAAAAACAAAGAGACAAACTTCCCTCACCACCTTCTCTTCTGAATGTAATCGTGTCCCTAATGACAATATAATGACGACTTATTCATCACTGAGATACACTCCTTCAGTTGCACTGGTGGGAACAGTTTTTTGGCCTCATTTTTTTCTCATGAGGGTTTTAAAGATGTAATTTTGTATGTTTATGTAATATGTTAATGTTTTAAGCAATTTCTAATCGAAAATTAGAAGAAACGATGAACAATAAATCAAAGTCAGGTTAAACCAAGATGTAATCAAGTAATACAAGAGTGGAACTAAAAGTATAATTTGGAAAGGGAGCCTCAAACAGAGAAAACACAAATCCTGAGGCCTGAAGAAGGAGGGTTCTAGTTTGCGTCTGCCTTAAACCCGATACCTGATAGCGTACCTGAGGAGGTCTAAGACCAGAAAGCCAAAGGGGTCACTCCTTCTCAGCTCTCTGATTCTCAGATAAGCTTCTGCAAAAGGAAGGGGATCTCTGGTTTACTTTAACCCTTATAAATGTCACATTAATCTTATTCTGTTCACATGGCAGTCTGATGGCTAACACACAAAACCAGGAGCCAGAAAACAGCAGTTTTTAGGGCAGTTAGGGAACTGGTTGACCTGCTGCTAACACTTTTTTCTGTCTGTGCCTTCATGTGCTAAAGCAAAATGGAAATAATTGTCTCCTCTTTTGGAAGAGGGATGCAAGGCCTAAAGAAATGCTGTAAAGAACATGGAGATCCACAGGTGGAAAACCCTGGGGTGGTCACAGCTTCAGATCACAGGAGCAAAACACATGGTCATATTTCACCTGTCAAAGCTGGCTTTGCTTTAGAAAACAGGAAATCTCAAAGGCATTGGCTAGAGAAGAGGAACATTCATCTCTTCTCAGTACTGCATTTGAAAGGCTTTAACAACATAAGCTTTCCTGGCACTTGCCGAGCTATCTTTGGAGAAGAAAATAGGATTTTTAGGGTTTGTTTTTAGTGAGGAACAGGTGGCAGCATGTGGAAACCTGTTGTTAAATTTTAGTCATGGTCCCTTTTCCCTTTTCCTTTTCCCATCTGCAGTTGAGTACGACAAGGAGTTCACGCCTCACCAGCGGCACCACAAGGAGTTCAAATTCAATTTGTCTCAGATTCCGGAGGGCGAGGCCGTCACAGCCGCTGAGTTTCGCATCTACAAGGACTGCGTTGTGGGGAGCTTTAAAAACCAAACCTTCCTTATCAGCATCTATCAAGTGCTGCAGGAACATCAGAACAGGTATGCAGGAAGGGGCTCGCTCTGTGCCACCAGTTGCTGTCCTGGGGAAAGTTAAGCTTGCACATTCATGTTGAGAGGACTGCTAAATAAATACCAGGATTGTTCTCATTAATGGGGTTTTGTTGTTTCCTTGTGAAAAATGGGCATGGCAGAGTGCAAAACGGACCTCAGCTGCAGAAAGTCCATGGTATTGTAGTCCACGTGTTGTCTTTAAATAGAGCAAGAATCTGCTGTGAGGCAGTAGATTTTTAAACCAAAGTTGTTATGCTGGCGTTGCTCTTGTGTACTGAAATACATCTGTCCTCTTTCAACCTAGTACTACTGCATAAATAAAGCATAGCCTGTTTGAAAAATACTGGCAATTAGTGCAAACTTGACCTGCATTCAGCTGGACTTACATTTAAGTAAATAAAGCAGAAAAAAATTCAGCATGCTGACCACAGGTACAAAATCACTCCTGGGCTTTCAGTGGCAATGGGGGAGGCAAAAGACAGGGGCAGGGTAGGAAATGTGTTACAAAAGTCCAAACAAGTGTAAATGGAGTAATTAATTTTAAAAGGGTGGTGTTTAGCATGAGGGAATCACATAAGGCTGAAAGCTGGAAACAAAGGTCAATTAAAAGTCAGAGTAATGCTGTGGTACAAAAGCATTTCATTACTTCTGCTGAAATGTGTCAGCACTGTAACTGTTTCTTTTCTCTCTGAAGGTTTCCTGGGTATTTGCCTTTCTGATCCTTCTTTCTACATCCTTTCTGTGTATATCATTTTGGGGGGATCTGCCTTTGATTTGCTGTTGTGAGGACAGCATCAAGTAGCTGGTGGTTGTTCTGTGGGGAGAACATCTGGGCAAATGGAGAGAAATACTGGGTATATAGGCGATGGGAAGAAGGTGTTAATTTTAGATGATCAGCGTTCCCTTTGAGCTTTGAGTTGTGGGTTGCTGGAGTGCCTCCTTGGGTAACGTACGTGCTGGTTAACATGTTACATCAATGCCCACGCTTGAAGAGCTGGTGGAAGTCTGGATGGTCATGCATATTTCCTAGATGTTAGCTGTATTGTTCATTTAGAGCCACACTGAATAAAAAATGGTGAGTGTTGGTCTGGTTTAGATTTCACAAGTAGAGATTCTACTTCTGCAGCTGGAGGAAAACTTCTGCCAAGTGTCTGGAAGCGATCGATATGCTGCTCTGTGATGGTCACCAAAGCAGGGCACAGAGTAGGAGAACTGTCAACTTTTATGTGTATATAGCATTTTTTCAGAGTAAAGTCAGCAAGCACTGTGGGAACGAGAATAAAGTACAGGATATGGCCCCTAATGTACCCTGCTCCTAAAACTTCTGTGAATTCTTTTTTCTGAAAGGGGCTGTATGCAGCAATGATGCTGGCAACTGGTATCTTTGTTTTGAACACCATGCCAGAAACCTGCCAAAATCGTACTGCATTGTGAAGCTGGGACACATGTCCTATGGCACTGGCTGCTATGGCATCTGCAGGTCCTGGGCATCACTGGGTGCTAGAGAGCTCCCTTCAGAGAGAACAGAGGTGTCAGCTTGTGTGGGGATCACCAGGGTGGTCTCTCTCCAGAGCTGGCGAGTATTTCAGGTCTTTCAGGTCCCTTCCATCATGTTCCTCCTGCTGCTGCTGGCTTTCATGGTGAGGGGATCCCGCTGTTGGGACTGGGAATCATAAAGCAGCTTCCTCCAGGTCCAGACTGCCCGCAATTCACCGTCCCTCCTGACACAGGCTAGGCGTGAACTGCTGACCCAGGGATGAGTGTCTGTAGTTCATTACTAACCTCTGACTCATCCAGTCCCTGAAGGCTCCCTTTCTGTTTCTTTTTCTTCTTTATTTATTTATTTTTACCGGTGGGAAGGAGGGAGACCTTTGGCTAAAGAAACTTGCGCTTCGGATGAGTCTAAAAGGACTTGTCACATCATCTGTGCAGAGGTGGGTAAGATGTTGCTCACAGATTCTTGCAGCTGTAAAAAGGATGTGCCCTTTTCCACCCTTTTTAGCTTAAAGGACTCTTTCATGTTCATGTAAAATATAAAACCACATACGAAAACATGTGTGCTTGTGTATAAATAGATGCCTGTGTATATATTCTCTGTATGTATCTAAAAGTGTGTATCTATTGATAGTCATTTGTATTAATTGTCATGTATATATTAAAAGTATACAGCTGTTAAAAGACAGATATTAGAAGCTACTTACCACTCTCCATTTGTACCTTCAGTTGAGGTTCTGACTCTGTAGGCTACTGCTGCTGCTGCTACAGATTGAAACATGCAGCTGCATTGGTGACCTGGGTGGGCTTTGGCCTGTAAACATTCTTGAAAACAAATACTAAAAACTTGCATCTAGCTGTTCACTTATATCTCTGCGGGGGGGGGGGGATTTTTCTGCTGTGTCTTAAGGAGCTTTATTCAGCTCATTTGGGTTTTGATTATCAGTTCACTTACATGCTTTTACTGGGGGTGGGGAGGGAAATCCAAAGTGATTTTTTCTCCTCCTTTTGTCTCAGTAGATTAATTTGGAAGATAATGTTTTCTTTTCCTCTTGAGAACACTACAAGGTTAAATTACAAGAGGAGAAGCACTGGGTTTTTTGAAGGAACTCGCTAAATATTTGTAAGGCTTCTGTTGCATTTTAGCAGATATTTTACGAGCCAGAAAATAACAGCTGCCTTTGACTTAAAAAAAGATTTACTAAAAAAAAGTTATGTCACACTTCCTTTGGACAGCCTGATATTTCCTGGCATTTTATGACACTTTATTGCATAAGGAAGAGTCTGTACAGATCTGGAAGTCTAGCTGGGGAACCAGCAGGTGAAACAGAAGGAGTTGACATAGCACATTTTTCCATCTTGTTCTGCTGACAAATATTCCTTCTGGTCAGGAAAATTAGTCTCTGAAGGCCACAGAAAGTGCCTGTTCAGTCAACATTGGCAGTCTTCATAGAAAGGTCAAAGACACCATGTTAATCTTGGCTTTTATGAGGTTAACAGTTGTCTGAGGCGATTATTGGTAGCTAATAAAATACTTTTGGGCACAAATAATATTTAACAGGGCAGCTGGCATGAATGGATTTAAACCAGCAGTCTGCAACAGAAAGGCAGCATGCAGCTCTGAGGGAAAACATATAAAGAAAAAGAAACCTGCCTGTTCCTCTCAAAGAAATGAGTTTGGGAGGGCAGGAGATAAGAGGAAGCTTCAGTACACACAGATCTTCACCAAAGCTCAGAGACTGGACATATCCCTTGGCTGCAATTACGTGTAATGAAGTGGCTTAATTCAGTGTTACTTGAGCAAAGGAAAAAAAAACCTCATCTGGACAGTTACCACAGCATGAGCGTGTGACTCCAGCCCAGATGTGCGCGCTGCTGCATGGAATTGCAAGGCACTGCTGGCTGATCCCTGATGCCTAAAAAAAACCCACCAAGCCTGAGGCTAAAATTTCTTGCCAGTTACTGAATTATCGAACTGATTTTTGCCACTGTAGACAAGGTTAAAAGCAACGATTATACGGGCCCATTCGAGACTGTCTCCTAGGTAGGGGTGTATGTGGAGAGAGCATGAACGATCAGAGATCAATGCTGACTGAAACAGCACAGAAGCTTTGAGGAGAAATTTGACCCTTTCCTTGTTCAAAGCCATCAGAAATACGAGAAGAATACTTGTGGAGGTTCCAGGCTAAGAAATGCACATTGAGGACAGTGTGGTCTAAGTACATTCTCTCTTAAAAGCAAAAAAATTTTTAATACTGACTCACTTGTGTCAGTAATATTTTCATCTCCCCATTCCTTCCACCCTTTGCTAAGGTAAAAAAAAAATAGTGCCTAGAAACTAGGCTTTTGTTTTCTAACTGAACTGCAGCTAACGGCTACATTTTGTGACAACGCAAATTGCTGGAGCTGTCAGTGGGATGCTGTGAAGAGATTAATGAAATCCTCAGGATGGGTCAAGTTTGTGGCCAGCCATCAGCAGTATACATTTCAGATTGCGTGACGAAGCAGCTTTACTGAACAGGGCTGATGTCTGGTTTGCTCTGAGGGGGATGACTGTGGGTTTAGAAGTGGGCTGGGGACTGAAGGGCCTGACGTGGGGAGAGAGAACAGGCAATACCTCTTCGGGACCTTTGGCTTCTGACTCCCAGAGCTTAAGAGACTGGGCTGTTTGAAGGCTAGGGTGGATTTTTCTTTTTACCCTTGGTATGTGCAGAGAGCAGGGAGATTTGCCAAAGCACCAGTTCAGGAAGACAAGTGGCATCAGCTTCCAGCTGTTTATCTCACCGTTACCATGTCGGGGGGGGGGCATTTAGTTTCAACAGACAGGAGCTGCGCAACCTTGAATCTCCTCTTTTTTGGTGGTAGCGAAGCACAGCTAAGTCCTGCACATGGGCTTACGTCTAAGGTGTAGCAATGATTTTGTGGAAGAACCAGCAAAGCCCTCTGACTTCTGATACCTCTTGGGAGTGGATTGCCATGTAAGTGAGACCTTTGCAAGGCAAAGGAAGAAATAAGTTTGTCCTTGGAAACAGCTCATTAATTTCTTTTTCCTTCTCAAAAGTTTCTCTCTCTCACCCAGAGAGGTGTCAGGTCAGGACTAGGGAGGGCAGTTTATGGTTGATCAAAGATATTAGGCCTTGGTTTGGATCATCAGTATGTTTTCAAGTTTAAATATCCTGCTAATGCAGACCTCGGACCACTCCCACACTGTCCAAACAACTGATCTATGAAAAACACAGTGGCCTGTGTTAGTGATCAAAGGAAGATATGGTACCTTAATGGTCAAGGTTTATTAAACAGTTTTGTTTGCACCCAGAATGAAATATGAGGGCTTGATGTGCAGAAAGATTCTCCTGTATGATAAGACACGTGTGGACCCATAGCTGTGCCTTGCAGAGTGACTGCCTGGGGAGTATGTTCTTCTTCTACTGAGCACTAATTCCTTAAGGGTTAAGGTGCTCATTGGTTTTTAGCTGCCAGTTACAGTGGTAGTA